AATGTGCATTTTAGAATGATCATGCCAATAAAAATTTGCTCAAGTACACAACAAGGACATTTGTTCAACCATGTTCGTAGCAGCTTTATTTGTAATAGCCAGAACTTGGAAACAACCCAGATGTCCATCAACGGAGGAATGGATACAGAAATTGTGGTATTTTTACACAATGGAATACTACTCAGCAATCAAAAAGGAGGAAATCATGAAATTTGCAGGCAAGTGGTGGGATCTAGAAAAGATCATTCTGAGTGAAGTATCCCAGAAGGAGAAAGACAAACTTGGTATATACTCGCTTATATAGACCTACAAGACATGATAAACATAATGAAATCTACACACCTAAAGAAGATAATCAAGAAAGTGGACACAGGCGAAGGTGATTAATCCTCATTTAGAAAGACAAATGGGATGTGCCTTGAACTTATGACAGGAGTCTACCACAAAAGGCATCTGAAAGACTCTACCTAGCAGTGTTTCAAAGCAGACACTAAGACTCATAACCAAACCCTCAGCAGAGTGCAGGGAATCATATGAAAGAAGGGAAGTTAGTATGATATGGAAAGGATAGGAGCTCTACAAGGCCCAAATATATCTGGGCACAGGGTCTTTTCTGAGACTGAAACTCAACCAAGGACCATCTATGGATATAACCTAGAACTTCTGCTCGGATGTGGCCTGTGGTAGCTCAGTAACCAAGTAGTTTTCCAAAGTAAGGCGGACACGGACTATTTCTAACAGGATCTCAAGGGCAGGCTGTTTGACACCTCCCCCCAGGGGAGGAGCAGTCTGTTAGGCCACAGAGGAGGACTTTGCAGCCAGCCCTGAAGATACCTGATAAAACAGGGACAGATGAAAGGGGAGGAGGTCCTCCCCTATCAGGGGACTTGGAAAGGGGCAGGGAGGAGACCAGGGAGGGAGTGTGGGGTTGGGGAGGGAATGAGGGAGCGGGATACAGCTGGGACACAGAGTTAACAAAATGTAACTAAAAAGAAAAAAAAAAAATAAAATTAAATTAAAAAAAAAAAAAAAAGAATGATCATGGACTTTTAATCCTTCTGCCTCTACTTTTCAAGGGCTGAGATTATATAGGTTTGCACCATAGTGCCTAGCTTTGTGGGGAGGATCATACCTTGGGCTTTTTACTCCACAAGCCTACTACTGCTAGCTGAGGCACATCTCCAGTTTCTTCTTCCTTTGTTTTCTTTCTTTGTTCTTTCCTTCTTTTTTTTTTCTTTCACTTCTGCCAATTCTGGCAGTAAATCTGAACTCCAGGGCCATGTGTTTTCTAATCTCAACTGTGAAGGGAAAAACATCTTGCAATATTAAAATGAGATTAGAAGAAAAGGGAGATAGAAAGACCTGGAGGGGACAGGAACTCCACAAGGAGACCAACAGAGCCAAAAACCCTGGGTCAAGAAGGTCCTGCAGAGACTGATACTCCAACCAAGGACCATTCATGGAGAGGACCTAGACCCACTGCTCAAAGGAAGCCCACAGGCTGCTCAATTTCCAAGTGGGTTCCTTAGTAAGGGGCGCAGGGGCTGTCTTTGGCATGAACTCAGTAGCTGGCTCTTTGATCATCTCCCCCTGGGGAGTGCAGCCTTACCAGGCCACAGAGAAAAATTATGCAACCAGTCCTGATGAGACTTGATAGGCTAGGGTCATATAAAAGGGAGGAGGACCTCCCCTATTAGGGAATTAGAAAAAGGGCAGGGGGAATTGTGCATGGGACTAGGAGGAGATGAGGGAGGGGGCTATAATCACACAAAAAAAAAAATCACAAAAGTAAGAAACAAATGAATCTGATAGATCATGTTCTTTCTTGTTGTGCCTGCTTTTTTATTCATGGAATCCTACCTCACAGGTTTATTTCTAATTCTTTAATAAAAACAGTTGTGTCTTTTTATTATATAATATGACTCATAAACAAATACAAAGTGACTAAGTTGTAATTAATTAGTTAATCAATTAATTTTTAAAAATGGGAAAAAAAAGAAATGAGATTGGCATTTGGAAGGAGCTGCAGTTACTCAGCTCAGCAGTGGCAGGAATCACTGAAAATGGCTGTGAACACGGCTACTGGTCTTCTGCTTCAGAGGAGGCCTGAGGAAGCATTGCTGTCCTGTAAAGGAAGGCTAGGCAGTTTTCAGACCCTTGTTAGAGAGTACTGTTTTCCATAGTGGTGCACACAGGCTGCCTTTGTTGTATGTTATCCCTGAGAGCATTTCAGAAGGACTCAGTCCAAAATTACAGGTGAAACTGGAGACTTGCATTAAAGCTAACAACCCTTGGAACAAGTGCAGAGTAGGAAAGCAGTCTGTTTACCTTGTGCTCGGCTCTCCACCTCCCCAGCTCACAAACATACACCTGTCTCAAGGTCCTTAAGGTCAAATGGCTGACATGCAGACACTAAGACATAAGTCAGAAGGTGTTTGGAATTTTTACCTCATATGGATACTGTGGCAGAAAAAATGCAAACTACTCGTTTTTTTAAGAGCACAATGGTATTCCTTAACTCTTCCTCCACTCTTTCTTTCACTCTCAGTAACAATTCCTCTTTCGAAAAATATGAACAATTGAGTTTTCTTGGTTATTTAAAACAAGACTCATCCCTCAACATACTTCCTGAAGGGTTTTTATAATCCCTGAATGCCAACTACAGAAGCCCCCTCTGGAACTTTATACAAATTCAGGGGTTGCCCATAGAGCACGCTGTCATGACTTGCTTCTGCTCCTGTTTACCTCTGACCTGTAGAGGTTGAATTGAATTGTCCCCGCAAACCCGAGCTTCACCAGGGCCAGGCTTGGAGTTGCTGCTCCATAAATGATTGTCAAGTGAACAAATGAGCTGAAAGACCCCATGACGCCACCTTGACGCACACTCCCAGCCGTTCTCATGGTCTCTACCATAAGGAATGACTGGACTTTCTTTCATGTAAAATTAAATATGTTTGTATTAAAATCAGCTTCCTGTGATCCTAACCAAGATATGTTCTAAGACTGCCGCAAATGGAGCAGAGAAAACACCAGGATGTTTTGAGGATCTAAATACTTGTGAAGTACTTTTTTTTTTTTCATGTTATGAAATGTTTTAAAGAACTCCAAGCAAATTTAAAAGGGGATCTACTAATTTTTTGAAAATGAAAAAAAAAAAAAAAAAAAGTTCCCTTAATTCCCTATCCAAATACTTCAAGCTTAAATTTACTGGCAGCTATTTTAGAGGAAGATGGTGACTCTCAATTCTTCGGTTTGTTATAGGGAAAATGTTTTTGTCTTCAAATGTTTAGGAAGGGATTAAAGGGAATTTATAGCCTCGGTGAAAGTAATAAACGTGGTAACAATGCAGTGTCTAAACTGTCACCAGTTTCTGGAATTACTGACTGCCCAACCTGCATTTAGATTTTGTGCTAAAAGGAATTACTTTCATATCATGCTTGAGACGCCTGCCTGGATCAGCGGGTCATTCTATTGTTTATGGAAGGTTGAATCAATTATACAGGAGATAAATCCTGCAGTTCGATCATTTGCTACAAAGCCCAGGAAACATATTCAAGATTCATTTCTTTCAACAAATCTAATCAACATACGGTATATTGTTTTAAGGTCAAGCCACAGACTGTTCAGTTTCTTCAGACACACTTCATGATTTAATTAAATTTATTGTTAAGGGGGAAAAAATCACAAAAGTAAGAAACAAATGAATCTGATAGATCATGTTCTTTCTTGTTGTGCCTGCTTTTTTATTGATGGAATCCTACCTCACAGGTTTATTTCTATTTCTTTAATAAAAACAGTTGTGACTTTTTATTATATAATACGACTTGTAAAGAAATGTTTTAGCAACATAGGCTTCCACTTTGGAAAGTCTTGTCTATAGTCACAGTGTAACACTTTTATTATTTAAGGGTGTCCTAAGGTTTGAGGTGATAGGATATTGCCAGTGTCCAATGAATATAGAATTCATTTCTAAACAGCACCCTCTTTTAAGCAGTGCTTCTGATGGATGGAGTGCATTTTTTCTTGGAATGAACACACAAAAAGAAATCCTAAGCACGTTAAAAATGTAACTGGAAATGGTGGCGTATCCTTGAAGTCTCAGCACTTAGGAAGTTGCAGTGAGATTTCAGATTCCAGGGCAACCTGGCATCCATGTGAGCCCTTATCTCATAAAACAGTGGGAAAGGGTGATGACCATTTTTGTTGTTGTTTTCATTTTTTAATTTTTGTTATCATTTTGAATGATAATTGTCAGAACCTGGTCAAAAGAGGGGCATGTAGTGAATGATGCCTTGGAAACTTGTGAAAGAGGCTCCAGGACAAAAGGTAGAGAGCCTTTTACCTCAAGTCCGTTTTGTGCCCTGGATTGTTCTTAGACATGATTTCATGCCTCCTATAACAAACATTTACATTCGGTTTATAAGATGTGTTTATTCTTGTTGGACGTCAGATCATAGCTATATAATCTAATCTGGTCAGTGTGCCCTGAATCGGGATATGGCCTTCTGCCTTGCTTCCTGGAGCCTCTCTCATAGTTCACCAAGGCTTTGTTCGACATGGTCATTCTTTTGACCATGTTTCAACAGATAATTGCTTCCACGCTTGATGAATTTTAATTATTGGAATTGCCCATAAGTTTTATTCCAATAGTCTTATGCATAGGTGAGAGAAATTGAAACTAAAGTCATTTTAAATCTTCATGTGAATTCTTACATGATCATTCTTAGTTATGCAAATTCTTCTGAGTTAGGTAGTAATAATCCCTGTTGTATTTATGTAATATCCCATCTCAGGGTGCTCAGCCTCACATGAGTGAACTGCTCTATCTCTAAGAGTTTCTATTTTAAATCAAATAATCAAATATGGGAAGCATCTCTGTGTGTGTTGTTTCTCAGTCATTCAAATCTTTAATGAGTTGATACTTGCCCCCTTGTTATAAAGTAGACTTCTGTGGTCCATGTGGCCCTCTGTTTAAATATGTTGTCTTCTTCTCTGTTCAGAGTTAAAGAAGCTGAGGAAGTGTGTAGGCAGAAGAAAGGAAAATCACTCTATAAAGTAAAACCGAGACACGACTCTGGGATTGTAAGTACTGGCTGTTCTTTTTCTTTTTTTCCCAGCTTGTGGTGGTATTTGCTGTTAAACCATGTCTTTGTGATATATACAAACTTACATAGTAATATTTCAATCATATTTGTCCTATGTTCAGATAATTAATGAGCTTCTAATTCTAACTGTCTCTTTATGTCTTTAGTTGGGACTTTGTAGTTGAGTTAGTTTCAAAGTTGGATATTTGAAACTTGAAAAATTAAGATAAATATAAGCATGGACATACGTGAGGGCCTGTGTCTACTACTTGTGGTAGGAGGAGAGCCTGTATTTCCTCATTAAACATGAGTCACAGGCCATTGATGCACTTTAACCCTGAGTGACTAATATAAGCTTTGCTGCATAAAACTACATAGGAAATGACACATGACATATGCTCTCAAGTAGGCTATCTGGAGTCTGGCCAAGATACTAATCTAGAAGGCTAATTTAAGATTCCTCCTTGGCCAAGTCCTCCATATAATAGAACAGCAAGTTGTATACCGTACTGTAGAAGATTTGTTGAAGGTTTTGAAGGTGTCCTACATCTCTTCTTGCCAGGATAAGTAGTGCTGGTTTCCAGGAAAATTTAGGACATCAAATAAAAGCATTTGGGGATTTATTTTATTTTTAATTGACTATTGTATTTATGGGTATGTGCATGTGCATACAGAATCTAAGGTGATGAAAAGAGGGCTTTAGAGCTTTAGAGCTGGGACTTCAAAGGATTGTGAACCACTTGACATAAGTTCTGGGAGCTGAACTCAGCCTCTACAAAAACAGTGCGTGTCTTCACTGCTGAGCCATTTCTGCAGTCCAAACTGAAGCACTTTGAATTGGATTGGTATAGCACACTCTACATGGAATAGACAGTAAAGATAACTCAAACTGCCATAGGATTAAAAATAGTTCTGTTTAGAAAGTAGTTCTAAACTGCCGTAGGCTACCTCTATGCAGGAGTTCTATACTCAGAAAAAACACTATTTTTCTGTCAGTCTTTCTGTAGCAATATTAGTCTTTTCTAATGATAAATCTGTCTCATGCTGTTTTCTGATCAATTTAGCTTTCTTAATAAAGCTATATCGGATAAGGGGAATGATTATTTGTTGATCATGCTACTGTGAGATGGAAAAGAATTAAAACATTTCAACCAGGAACTCAATCCATTGGTTTTGCTTCTGTATCTGTGCTTTTGCATGTAGGATCTGGAATGATAGGGTTGTGGCGACAGCTCATTCACATATGGACTTATTTTCTCAAAAGCATTTGGTAATTCCTTTCAATGAAAAAAAAAATTTAAGATGAAACAGATACAATATACATGAAGTTTTCTGAATGGATTGGTTGTTTTTTTTTTTTTTTCACCTTTATCCAGAGAATTTAATAGAAATAAAATTTTTATTTGGGATGCACTAAGCTCCTTTATTTTTGATTTTTTTTTAAAACTCCATCTGGCATGTTTGTTTCAGAAAGCAAAGATAAGCATGAAAACCTGATCTGTGAGGAGCAGAACAAAACAAGTCACTGAAACAGCCCCCACAGCACCCACATGACCTGAAGGAGGGAAGGAAACGACATCATTCTGATAATTTTTCCTCTGAACCTCTTGCATTATCTTCATGTTTTCTAGACAGTTTGTTGATTGTTGAATTTTACTGTATGCGCATTTAAAATTGCAAAAGTGGTAGACCTGTGGAGGATTGGACATCTTCTCATTTTGTACATGTTATGGTGTTATACCAACAGGCCCAAGTGGCACATCTAAGAGGCACTACCTGCATTAATTCTGAACATGCTGAATCTTAACCTATGGTTTCCTTTTGTGTGATTCTCTCTCTTGTCACAACAAAAACATCTTCCTTTCTACTGACAAACAGAACTCCACTCCAATGTGATGAGATTTGTAGGTAAATGTTATTCCCAGTGAATTCTATGTATCTACTTCACCTCTACTTACACAGATTCTGTTTTGAAAAGTATGCATCATGTGTATGTCGTGACCAGTGCTTTCTTCACTCTTAAATTCCTCTCTATAATATGTTCCTTTAGACCCTATGAAAAGCTCATCCTCAGCAGAAGTAAATAAAATCGTAAGATGTCCCTCTGTGTCTTACACTATGATACTTCTCTCTCTCTCTTTCTCTCTCTTTCTCTCTCTCTGTTTCACATACATACTCAAACACTATCTCACACACATGTACTCACACTCTCTCTCTCACACACACACACAAGCTTCACTTAATATTTTCAAGAAATTTGAATAAGTGAAGTTCATGAAATTGTCAAATTTATTTTTTGATGACCACTTATTATAAAAAAAAAATAGATGAATCAGATCTATCTAGACCTTGTAAAGTAAAATACCTGCCTGCGTATTTTGGCATGACTGAGTTGTGATCATGTGTTACGGCAGGTGATATACAGCTATGACATGAGGTTGTGTTTACCCCTCATCTACAGGGCTCTAAAGAAGGATTTTACTCACTCAATCAGAAAAAAAAGGAAGTTTCCCATTCTTTCTGAAGATACTTTAAAGTCAGCTCATAATGCATTAAGGGGGTTTTGTATAACATTAATAGTAGTTCTTTTAAATTGCTGCTAACAATATTGGTTGAGAGCTATGGTTGTAGAAAAAAGGAAAATGTGTTGCTATTGCAAACCAGTTACAGACAGCAACTTAAAAAGAAAAAAATAATGTTCTAAATCATAGCTATACTTGTATTTATGTAAAGTATGACCTCTTGCCTTTTACTTTGTATTTTAAGTGCAAAAGAGCAGTAGTGTTTTTTCTTCTGTTGTTGATTTGTAGTTTTTCTGTCCCTCAGTCCTTCTGATGTGTATATTACCACTCTTCATTGAAGTAATAGGGCATTTAACAAAGAACGCTATGTGCAATACTGTATTTAGTGTTTCTATTTCAATTTTTTAGGATGTTAATTTATATGAAAATAAAATGAATAATAAAACATCTCTGTGTCAGTTGTGTTGCGTACTTAGATAATATGCACCGTGGTCAACTTTTGTGGGCAATAGGGGTTAGTCCAAGTATTCACATACACTAAGAGCATGAACACCAATCCTCTAAGGAATCTGGAACTTAAGTCTCTCATGATACAAGAAATCGTGATAAAATATTGACTCTTCACCAAGTTGTTTCCTTTCCTGGGAGCCAGCAAACATTCTTCTTCCCTATTATCCAGTTCTAACAGAATATTATACCTTACAATTTATTATATACAAGACCAGACCCAAATTTTTATCTTGTCCCACCAAAACCTTCGTTCTTCTGTGTTATCTATCTCAGAGCCTCCTTTCTCAGAACCAGGAATCATTCTTTATATCTCACTTTCTCGTGAGTCACTCATTGACTCACTGCCAACACTGTTATTTGTGTCTGGTTTGAAGGTATTTTTATTTTCCACCAATTCCATGAAAATTCTAGTTCAAAACTGGTCTAAATTACCTTGATAGCTGTATGAGGGTTTTGTTGTTGTTGTTTTGTTTGTTTGTTTTCCTTTACCTTAATAGAAATACCCAAGAAAGGCAACTTACAGAAGTGGTTGATTTGGCTCACAGTTCAAGGGGATACAGTCATGGATAGTAGGAGCATATGGGAACTGACCATATTGCTTATACAGTCATGAACCAAAAAGAAAGAAAGGAAAGAAACAAAGAAAGAAAGAATAAAGAGGAAGAGAGAGAGCAAGAAAAGAAAAAGGTTACTATTCTCAGCTCATTTTCTCCTTTTTATTCAGTCTAGAATGTCAACCAATGGAGTGATGGTTCCCATGTTAGAGTGGATATTCCTACCCCTATTACCCAGTCTAAAAACTTCCCTTTAGATGCTCAGAAGTTTTTCTCCTAAGTGATCATAGAACCTGTTAAGTTTGCAATCAATATTAGCATCACAATGACATCAGGTGCTGTCATATTAAAAGAATTGCTTTACAGCAGTTCTTTTCTTCACAACAAACCCATTTTTTAATTTATTTATTTTTATTAATACAGTTTATTCACTTTGTATCCCCCCAAAAGCTCCTCCCTCCTCCCCTACCGGTCCTACCTTCCCTCCCCCTTCTTCATGCATGCCCCTTCCCAAGTCCACTGATAGAAGAAGTCCTCCTCTCCTTCCTTCTGATCTTAGTCTATCAGATCACATCAGGAATGGCTGCATTGTCATCTTCTGTGGCCTGGTAAGACTACTCTCCCCTCACGGGGAGGTGATCAAAGAGAAGGCCAATCAAATTATGTCAGAGGCAGTCCTTCTTCCCATCACTATGTAAGCCACTTGGACACTAAGCTGCCATGGACAACATCTGTGCAGGGGTTCTAGGTTATCTCCATACCTGGTACTTGGTTGGGGTATGAGTCTCTGGGAAGACCCCTGTGTTCAAATTTTCTGGTTCTGTTGTTCTCTTTGTGGGGTTCCTGTCCTCTCCAGATCTTACTATTTCCCACTTCCTACATAGGATTCCCTGCACATTGCCCAACAGTTGGCCATAAGTCTCAGCGTCTGCCTTGATAGTCTTCAGGGTAGAGCCTTTCAGAGACCCTCTGTGGCAGGTTCCTAGTTTGTTTCCTGTTTTCTTCTTCTTTTGATGTCCATCCTCTTTGCCTTTTGGGATGGGGATTGAGCATTTTAGTCAGGGTCCTCTCTCTTGATTAGTTTCTTTAGATGTACAGGTTTTAGTAGGTTTATCTTATGTTATATGTCTATATGAGTGAATATATACCGTGTGTGTCTTTCTGCTTCTGGGACAGCTCACTCAGGATGATCCTTTCCAGGTCCCACCATTTACCTGCAAATTTCATGATTTCCTTATGTTCCATTGCAGAGTAATACTCCATTGTGTAGATATACCACAATTTCTGCATCCATTCTTCAGTTGAGGGGCATCTGGGCTGTTTCCAGCTTCTGGCTATTACAAATAAAGCTGCTACAAACATGGTTGAGCAAATGTCCTTACTGTGTACTTGAGCCTCTTTTGGATATATTCCTAGGAGTGATATGGCTGGATCTTGAGGAAGCGCTATTCCTAATTGTCTGAGAAAGCGCCAGATTGATTTCCAGAATGGTTGTATGAGTTTGCATTCCCACCAGCAGTGGAGGAGGGTTCCCCTTTCTCCCCAACCTCTTCAGCATGTGTTGTCACTTGAGTTTTTGATCTTGGCCATTCTGATGGGTGTAAGGTGATATCTCAGGGTCGAACAAACCCATTTTTAAAAAAGCTGATAATCTGCATTTTCTACTAAAAAGGTCTTAGTAGTCACATAGAAAATTATGTGATCTTAAATTATCCAAAATCTTGACTGTGAATGAGAGAGCAATCAGGTACCTGCTTATGCCTTGGGTTATAACTCTATGCTCAGCCCTTTTGAATCCCAGCCTCCATCCAGACCAAACTGTCTTCAGTCCTTTCATGCAGTACTCTTTTTAAACTCCCATATGTTCCCTGCCCCCCGAAGTTCAAATATTAGAATCTTAATATCCAATCAGTCAGTGTCAGGGGGCCTAAGGGGTGTGCTTGGGTTATAAGGTAATTAGTGTCATTACTGAGGAAGTAGGTTCTCATTGGGAAAAAATAAAATAACTCTTTCATGCTGTATTGCCATATGATGTATTCTGCAATGGTCAGAAGCAGAAAGAAGGTCCTCACCAGATGTGTTCCAGGTTCCCAGACTTCCCAGGCTCTAGATATAAACTTCTCTCTCTCTTTTTTTTTTAATGTATTGCATGGTCTATGGTATTCTGCTATAGCAACAGAAAATAAATGAACCCATCCACGGAAAATCCTTTTCCATGTTCTTCCTCACCTTGAGCAGTCATCCTCTTATCTATCTTGCTTACTAGTGATCATATCTGAATGTAATAACCACTTAATACAGGGCATCCATTGGCACTGGTCTTTCTGGCTTCTAGAATGTTATAGATATTAAGTATTTATTAAAGAAAGGCAAAGTGTTAACTATGCCACAAACTTCAGGATACACACTGAGAATGGAAGATGGAAAGAAGTCTATTGTTAGGAAGGGATTATGGTAGAGACTGAGGCTGACATTAGTGTATTACTCAAGGTTCTCTGTAGAAAAAGAACTTTCAGGGTGATTCCAATAAATGTTCAGTCTTTGAGAATGGATGTTTTAACTGGCCCTCAGTATACATCAGAGTTAGGATCTAATGCTAATCTAATCTAATCTAGAGTTCAATCTAAGGATTGAACTTGCCAGTGTGAGCAAGAGCAAGCAGGCAAAGATTTAAAACATCTTTCTACCACATCCTTTATATTGGGTGCTTCCAAAAGGTATAATCCAGATTAAAAGTGGATCTTCCCACCTCAAAAGATCTCGATTAAAGGTTTATCTTCCTACCTCAAAAGATGCAATTAATTAATTGCACTATCTTTCCATTTCAAATGATTTAATTAATTAAAAAAATCCACCACGGGTGTACCCAGACACTTGGATTTTAATTCCAAGACCAAGAGTAGCCCTCACAAGTTCACCCCTTGTCAACTTGACACACAATCATATCTCCTTATGTCATGCTTAATTTCCAAACAAAAACAATAGTGAGGTCATAATTATGCCTAACACGACATAACTATCCCTTATATTCACAAATACAATATAAATTTTAGAATAGGTGGCAAGGTAGACAGGAGAGGCCCAAAACTTATTCTTTATAATTATGGCAGGTAAGTAGGTAAAAACGTGAAAGAATCTTCTATAGTTTAAGAAATACAATGCTGTGAGTTTAAAATTTAAAGTTTTGAATTTCTGAATAGTTCTAACAAGACAAAATTTATTTTGAAATGTATAGATATATATGGTGGAAGGGAATGGACAGGGCTGGTACATAAAAAAAGGAGTCCTGTTCAAGTAACAGAAAATAGTTGTATCACATTGGAGCAGAAGGACCAGGGCAAAGCCCAGGACCACTGATACAGGCGTCCATGTAAATAACTACCCAGGATGCCCTAGGATGTTGCTCATATCACATGTGTGATGGCAGGAAAAAGCAGACCAAAGTGGACATCTATAACACAGTATCACTACCACAAAGGAATGTGGGTTCAGAAAGACCTCGCATGATATCAATAACTACATTTAAGAGAGAAAGAGGGAGAAAGCAGTATCTTCAGACCCATTCAGACAAGTCTGCAAGCCACACCCCCTAAGCCCACAAAGAAAAGTATTAATTAGGAAGAATAGACCTAGTCCTGCTGAAGAAATAGAACAACAAACATTTATGTCTTGTGCCCATGATAAAATTTAAAGTCGCTAATCAATGGAATAGAAAAGAAAAACTTTCATGGGCTAAATGAACTCTAGGAGGACCCAGGTGAAGTGACAGCTGGTAAGCAGGACAGTGGTGCTGAGGACTTCCTTGGGATTACGACTCATGAAAAGAAAGCCCTGCTGATGTTAAAGAGACATCAGCAGACACACAGGAGAGAGAGAGAGAGAGAGAGAGACTCAAGAAGGACTCCACATTAAGAAACTGATAAGAGCTTCAGAAAGGCGAGAGAAAACGTTCAAAAACAATGACTGTGAGTTTTCTTGGATCAAGGGATGGCATAGTCTTTGCTTGAGAATGCAGCAAGTGCAGGGCCAAATATATACCACTAAATTTGACCTAAAAAGGTGGAACTGAATCAAAACCTTTAGGAAGAAAGAGCACATCACCTACAACAAAAGGACAGTTACTCTAAAAACAGGAAATAAAATAGTTAAGAGGTACCTTGAAAACAGCCAATTAAGACTGTCACTGAATGTGATAAATGTTTTCAGAATTTGAAAACCAAGAGTATACTCTCCAAAAACCTCACAGGAAGGTCTGGTAAAAGGCATGTCCCAATGAGGAAAGCAGAGGACCCCGAAGTCAGAGGTCATGAAGGGCACAGGAATCCAAGCAGTAAATCAACTTCAGACTGTAAACAATAACAAGTCATTTTTGTGTTTATAAGATATTAATGACAAGGTGACTGGGAAATTTTAAGAAACTAATTCAGTCAGGCTAAAAATCTTGCCTTATTCTCTTTGTATAATTCAATGAATGCTATGCTTTTAATATGTACCAGAAACTGCTGTCAGCCTTGGAAGGAATAGAAATGAAGACAGTGTCTTATGCCCACAGAGCCTCCATTCTGCGCTGTAGGAGAAGAAACAGAAATTGGATGTAAAATAATACCAGGTACCGTAATAATAATAATAATAATAATAATAATAATAATAATAATAATAATAAAGTACCATAGTACTTTACAAAGACTCATCACCCTTCAGAGTAGAAATGGGTGCTCTTACGGCTGAAAAACTCCCTTGAACCAACTCTATCTCCAGAAAAACACATGGATGTTTTATGAGTTTTAAAGCAAAGAATAGAGAGCAGACAGGAATGTTGAATGTATTTAGAATGTGTTGCAAACATGTGTGAGTATCTACATGACATTTTGGGGATAGTCATCACAAAAATAGAATTATTAAAAAGGTGGGGAAGCTTATTAAACTGATGGCCAGAAAGTTTATTTAAAACACATACATACACACACATACACACACACACACACACACACACACACACAC